CGACTTGGACTGAGCTTCGCTCAGCGATGATTATTCTGAAGCAAGGCCGAAGGGTGGGGTGCAGTCACGGTGTTTCCCCGGTACAGGCTTTTGTCATGTCGAAGGAGCCAATTTCGAGGGCCGCAGGCCCCCCGCCGGAAGCCTAAGTTTACTCAAATATGCAAAGTGATTTACCCCTTGCCGAACGGAGTTGCCGGAGCTGGCAACTCCGTTTGGCGGAAGGGTGGGGCCTGCTTATTTAAGTACTTCTAGTACTACATCCGCTGCAGCGTACTTCTGGGGTACACTATAAAGCATTCTGGTAAGATGAAATGCAGAAGAATGCGGGAAAGAAGAAAACGGAAATCGCTTTGCTTTAACATGGTAATTTCCGTTTTCTTGCTCCTCGCATTCTTCTGCATTTCAGCTTTAACCGAATGCCTTATTTCCGCTTCAGGTCAGGAGTCTTGCACGTGGGAACCTGGTGCGTGTTGGCGGGGTGAAGCTCTGTCAAGGAGTGGCAGTCAGTCAGGCCCCTAACCTCTGTTTGGCCCGCAGCGAAGCCATCTCGTCGAGAGGCCGCGGCGCTCGCTGTCGCTGTCCCTGGTGTCTGAGGCGCGGGGCCGTGGCACGCGGCCGGGGCGCGCTCCTCATCGCGGTGTCGTGCGCCTCATTGCCCTTCACGAAAATTAATTATCAAAAATGGAAGAACCTCGATAATTGGCCGGGGCCCCCGCGTGAAAGTCGAAACACATCCCGACGACATTGATTGGGCTGGAAAGTGCCTCGAGAGGCACGACTTCTCACGTCTCCTGAAAACGCCGTTTCGCTACGATGCACCTGGCATACATACACCAACCTCACAAGGCCTGCGGCGTTGATACCCGAGTCGGTCAAAAGGCAGACTCGTAAATAGACCATTTCAAGGTTAGGTCATTAAAAGAAGAACAGATTAACAAACCGGAAAAGCACTGCCTTCTCATCGCCCCCCACCCTACGCCCCTCTTCACCCCTCGCCCAACTGTTTGCTGTTTCGTTTATTCTTTTCTTCTTTTCACTGCGACTGATATGGTCTATGAAGCATTCCGGTAAAGCTGAAATGCAAAAGAATACGGGGAAGAAGAAAACGGAAATCGCTATGCTTTAGCATAGTGACTTCCGAAAACTTCGAAAACTACTGACATTGTGCACATTCTTAGAGCCGTGAACCGTGGATCAGACCCCCATCACATGTAGGCTCGTTTGATTCAAGATTTCACGCTGAAGACGATGGTATGACTCAAAATAAGGTTGCTCTGCAGAGGTAGCAACCAGAAGCAATATTGACTTCTTAGTGCAGAACTCAATAGTTTTACAGTTACAAGTGGCAAACACTTCTGCACTTGGATTAGCAGAGCAACACCTCAACAGCCTATTCAAGAGCCCTTCTTCGTCCGGTGTTCTCCACAGGCTGGCCCGAGCCAAGCCCCTCAGTGTAAGCAGCCACGCAACTTTGCTTTTACATTAACTTCGTTAGTGCGAGGAATGTACATCATCTTTTTTTTTAACAGGTGCCACAGCAAAAGTGACAGCATTCAAATGGAGCATAACGTCAAGTGTGATGAAATTCGATGGAACTGCCGAATTCGTGGAGTGTGTAAGTCACGTTGGTGCGTTGTGCGTAAAGTATGCGTTGTGAACATGCAAATTTATTTTAATTATCTGTTTTAGACTACCAGTGAGCCGCCCATTAGGGACAAGCGCGTGCGCGATTGTTCGGTTTTGCTGGAAAGATTGGAACCGAGGGGGAAATCACTTGCGAAATAGTTCGTACACCTTCCCCCGAAATAGTCCGAAATAAAGGCAAAATAGAGCGAAA